CTACAGCAACATGTTGAAGAACAGTAGTATTATTAAATTCCTCAAAATAAATGCCTGAGAAAAAGAAAAAAAGACAAAAATTGGGTTCCAAAAAACATCAGTCCATTTCCATCTAGAAGAAAGCATAATAAATAAAGAGGGCGGATGATAAAATGACAAAATTTTCGCAGCCAAGAGTTCCAAAATGGAATGCAATAGAACCATTGTAAAGATGCAATGAACTCAAGAAGTCATCTCCACTGATTTTCAACACGAGGGCAACTTAAACAAAATAAATTTGTTATAATAATTAATATAGTTGAGGGGAAGCAAATTAAAAAATAAAAAAAATAAAAAAAGGAGCAATCTTGGCTACTTTCTAGCTTTATAGCTATGGATAGGACAGCGAAAAATAATCATTTAAAAACTCAAAGAAACGAAATTTGGAAGCAAGATGGTCAGCAAAATCAATGTGCATATTATATATATATATATATATATCTATATAATTAGGGAGGTTTTTTTTTTAAATTTTTATAAAGAGAGTGATGAAGATGCTAAAAAGAAGGAAATAAAGAAATAAATAAACTAAGTTGGGTTCATGAACATACCCAAAAATTGCTTCATTTTTATTCGTGGTCCCATGTAATAGGAATGAGGTGATTACATCACTAGTCTCTATATGCAAGTTGCTTTGGATTGGTTGGGTGGCTTGCCACTCAAAATCCCTACTCACCAATCTAAATCTAAATCACCTTGCCATTTAATATATTAAATTACTCCTAATAACACCAAAATGTTTGTAAAATTAGATTTGGAAGAAAATGGATGGTTGGACTAAATAAAGTAGCACATATCATATCGTAAATATTGACGACTAAATTCAATTCTTTTTATAGACTGTGTCACTCTACTTTGTTCAACTATATATCCACTTATTTCTTCTCTTTAGTGTCATGTGCATACATACATATACAAATGGACAAAGTAAAGCAACATATGCACGAATTCTTTCTATGAGACCGATACACTTTACTTTGTATAACTATGTATATACTTTTTCTCTTCCATTTGATGTTATGTTATGTCAAATTAATTAGGGCTTGTTTGGTTACGTTCTGGTTTCTTGTTTATGTTTCTTCTTTTTTATTAAAAAAAATATAATTGCATGACCTCTCACACTTATGGGATTCAAGAATGATAAAACAAGATCTTTACCTACGTTGGAACAAATTGGAAACAGGAACAAGAAACAAGAAACTTGTTTTTGTTGTCTTTAAAATTTTTATACAATACTGACAATGTTTCTAACAATAAATGAAAAACAAGAAACATAAATAGTTGTTAGATATATGCTTAGATTTCTTAATAAAATTTGAAACGACAAAATAAGAAACGAGAATGTTACCAAACGACCATTGACTAACGTGTATCTAACATATAATTTAATTAATTGTGTCATTAACTATACAATAAACTACAATTCAAAGCTCATAATCGTAGTTGAAATTTTTTAAAGTTCAAAAACTAATTGTTCCTGGGGATGGTAGTGGCAAGGAGCCCGGCCCCATGGGTGGTTTCTCATATTCCAGATTTGAGCCCTACGTTTATCATACCACAAATCTCGATTATAGAAAACCACCCAGTATAAATCACAAAATATCGATTTTCTAGAGAAATTAAGGAAAAAAAAAGGTTTAAAGACTAATTAGACATCATTATTATATAGCTTGGTTTAGAGATTAAATTTATACTTCTTCTAGTCTGAAGGGAAGTTAAAGATTTTGAAGGGAAAAAGAGGTTGGCACTAGCAATAATTAATACAAAAAAATTAAAAGTAAGAAAAGGAGTTAGGGTAGCTAAAATCTAATTAATCAAGTGGTTGGCGGATACGTAATGATTAATCACATTAAGGAGATTTCTTTGGACCCATTACTTGCAATTTGTTTCAAATTGTGTTGCAAAACCTTCAACCACCCTATTTTCAAAATTCTCTCTTTTTTATTTTTTATTTTTTATTTTTTATATTTTTTTATTTTTCCCTGCACAGATCTAAAAAAAGTATTCACACACAGTAGAAATAGGATTCTCCTCGATTGTCCTAACAAATTAGAGCAAAAAGGGCATATCCAATTTTCTAATTAAAAAGAAACTAACTGTTCAAACTTGTCAGTGTTGAACATTGACCAAAATATATGATTGTTATTAGGTAATTAATTTTCTTTTTCCTCGCATTTATCAAGGTAATTCACAATTGAATTTTTATTACTATTATGTGTAGAATTGAAGAGTCTCGTGATTCTTTTTAACTAGCTACAATTTTCTTTTAAAATTATATTAATAATTATGATTTCATAAGGTTCAATTCTAAATTATGTGGGTAAAAATACAAAAAAGGACCCCTTTATGCTTGTGTTTGTGTGTGAAAAGGGATAAAGAAAGGACATATGCAAGTGGGATTTAATATATATAAAAAGAAAAATAAATGAAAGGGTAAAGATTAATATTATTGGGAGTGAGCTAAGGAAAAATGGACAACCAGACCAGATGCAAACCCTCTTCATTATAAGCTGTCTGAAAAGAAAAACAAAAACAAACAGTCAAACTGTGAATTCTTTTTAGGTTCTCTTTCTAATACAAATCTCCAAGAGAAAAATCTTGTGGATTTTGTAATATTATTTTTAGTTTGATTTGTTTATATCAGAGCAGACAACTTAATTTGTGTCTTTCCCTTGTTTTGAATTCCTCAACAGTGACTGTTCCTCTTAAATTTAACCCATTAAAGATCTATATTTCCTTTTCTTTATCTGTTTTCTTGTCTGCTACCCCAATTAATTTGATCATTTTTCCTTATTTTTCCTATTCCTATATCTAGATGTCCAAGTCTCTGAGACTTGTGTAATTTGTATATGTATTTGGATGGTGGTGAAGAATATATGAACTTATGTAGTTTGTATTTAGTTGTGTAAATTTGAGATTAGCAAAACAAAATTAATTATAGCTTAAAAGATAACTTGGTTTTTTAATTTAAGTTTATATAGCTCATGAGATTAATAAATTGTCTTAAAAGGTAAACCAAACTTATCTCCCGACTTAAAAACCCAAACTCCGATCTAATATGTATTCCTAATGATTAGTTTAAAAAATCATTTTGTGCTAATACTTTATTGTTTTATATTACAAAAGGTAGTTTTTTTTTCTTTCTCATGTGCTTTTTTTTAGTACAATAAAAGTGGGGGGAGAGGATTTGAACTTCCAACAACCTTGATAAAAGAATATATGTCATATAAATATTGTCAACTATGTTCATATTAGCTTTTAATTTTGACCTGCTTTCGTACATTCCTACATTCCTACGTAAAGTTAGATTTAGAACAAAATAATATGAATGGCAAAATGTGTGTTTGAATCAATATTAATCAAAGAAGGTTTTACATCCATATATATGATATTCTTATTATTGATACAATTAACATTATTCTCTCTTCACTAGATTATAAATAAAAGATAAAAGCGTCACAGATGCATTATTATATCTAACCATATAGTAATTCGATATGGTTCAAAAAAAATTTCAAATTTTTAATCGCCTACCATCAAGAATTTAAGAGAGTTCAATTAGAATAATTTTGATGTTTGGATGAAGTAATTCTAGCTATAAAATTAAAAGATTATGAAAAAAAAAAAAGTGGAAACAACGAAGATCTCTCAATAATAATGTAAGGGTTTCTTATTAAACCATAAGAGATATATATTTGATCAAGAAATCACAATAAGAATAAAATTTTTGAAGAAGAATTTGAGATGGATTAGTACTCATAAAAATATAATCCTCGTTTGAAAACAAATTTTTTTTTTTAAGTACGCGCATATGAAAATGAAATCTACTAATAGAATAAGGTAGAAGTGAACATAATCGATCACTTTTCTCCGAACTAAATAATTCGATTTGTATTGGTATTGAAAAACTTAATTTAATTGCATTGAATTGAATATGTATTTTGAAAATAGGTGGCTGTGCAACCGATGAACATATAACTAGTTGAGACTTACGACACACGTAACGATTACATAATTTTTTTAAAGTCCAAATCAGTGGAAACACAATATAAAAATTAAGTTTAAAAATGCATAAAAATTACATAAAATTTTTGTAACACTGAGGTTGCTTATTGAATAATAAATCAAGAAACAAAATATAATAAAATGATAAACTAAAAACAAAAAATAGAATATCAACCATTTGGTCTAGAAATAATCATTCAATATGTATTAGTTTATCTCATGATTCGTTTTAAAAAATTGAACACTTTTTTCTTGTTATAAAACCAACAAAGTCGAGAATTCTTTATGCATTTTTATATAATTACGTAAAATTTTATCAATGATTAAATATAATTGAAAAAATTAATGACAAATATTTATTCTCTAATATAATTATAATAATCATAACATTAAATTAAACTAAGTTTGTTGATTAGATTCCTTCTTTAAAAGCAACTTGGCACTAAAAAAGCCCAATTATTTGATAAATTAATTTATCTTTCTGTGATCTATAACCACTAAACTAATGCCCTCGTGCCATGTCCAGCTGTAAGACAATAACGTAATTGCAGTGAATTCTCAAAAATATCTCGATGACGTGTTCCGCCACGTAGATCGATAATTCACGAACTATTCCGCTAAGTTGATGATTCGGATATTAATTTCTTTTATTAAATTCGAAATGGGTCCCATGGCGCCGCCGGGTCTGTGGCGTTTTTTGACGCACGTGATCTAGTTCCCTTGATATTGTTATTTTTTACTTTTTTTAATTTTTGCCAAGTTGTTATATAAATTTTTAAATAAACATCATATTCTAAAAGTTATTTGTTTTTCACCCCCCCCCCCCAATTTTAAAATATTGGTAATCCGTCCGCCCAGATTATTTAATTTAATATTTGTGGATCGAAATTCTTCCCTTTTTCCGCTGTTATATATAGGGGTAAATATTCAAAATCTTTTAAGCAGAGAAAACAGAAAGAAAACAAAGTTTCTTAGGAAGCAAACAATTCCCCAGAAAATCAAAAAGAAAAACCCGCTCGGATTTTCAGTAGCGACTGAAATGGAGACCTCCTACTTTTCGTTTTCTGATTCTGATTTCTCGACGGAATCTTCGTTCGGTTCATCGGAAATGGAATCGTCCTTCTCATGGAGCGAGATTTTCTCGATCCACGGCTCCCTCGCATTTCCCGATGATTTTCTCGGCAGCCAAACATCAGGAACCGAATCCAAAATTGTGGTTAAGGAAGAAATCGAAGTGAGTTCGACTGATTTCGAGGAAGAGAAACAGAGGAAGACGCCGGAGAAGAGTTACAGAGGGGTGAGGCGGCGGCCGTGGGGGAAGTACGCGGCGGAGATTAGGGATTCGACGAGGCACGGAGTTAGGGTTTGGCTGGGGACTTTCGACAGCGCCGAAGCGGCGGCTTTAGCGTACGATCAAGCGGCATTTTCGATGAGAGGTTCAATGGCGGTGCTGAATTTTCCGGTAGAAATGGTGAGGGAATCGCTGCAGGACATTAAGTATCAACTGGAGGAGGGGTGCTCGCCGGTGGTGGCTTTGAAGAGAAAACACTCGCTGAGAAGGAAATCCGCGGCGGCGGCGGTGGAGAAGAAGAAGAAGATAAAGAAAACTAACAATGTGATGATTTTGGAAGATTTGGGAACGGAGTATTTGGAGGAACTTTTGATGCTAAGTTCATGTGAGAGTAGTCTTAATTGAGATTTTCCTTTTCTTCTTCTTCTTCAATTTTTTCATGGCTTCGTGAACTTCTCACCAGACCAAATGTAAATATATCCCTTTCATTTTTCCAGCCATTTTCATTAATTTCTTGTGAGGGTTATAAAGATTTGGGGGATATAAATCGTATCAAAGTAAAGTGAGGTTGATGATAGTGTTATAGAGCAAGTCTTAGACTTGTGGACTATCAAATTTGACTTGTCAATAATGTAATGTTCTTGTTTGTTCCTTTTTTTTCTTTTCTTGTCCGAAATTTTTATTTATTGCATTTCCATCCCATATGTTAATCCTGAATTTCTTCCAATTTCATTTAGTATTTAAAAACTATTTATTAAGAATTAAATATCAAAACTAACTCACTAATATTTTAGTACAATATTAGGTAACATCAACAGCTCAGTTGTAAATAACATGACATGTACTCATTCTCTTGAGATCAAATTTAAAAGTTTACATTCACATACTCTATATTTATTGTATTAATATATATATATCACCTACACAAATTTATTCTACAGTGAGTATGCACACACCCGCATATCTTTTAGATAAGTCACAAGAGTTTATGTTGGAAGTAAACAATAGTATATCATTGTCCCTAACTAGAGATATCATCTTCATGTGTTGACAAAATTGATTTAATTTTTTGGTGTCGAACAAAGAAATGGTAAAATCTCAAAATCTCAAAAGATGCAGTCATAATGCGTGATCCCGGGTCAAAATCAATATAATTTTGTTTTGGGATTTTTCATGTGTACTTGAGACAAGGGAAAAAAGAAAAAGAAAAAGAAAAAGAAAAAGAAAAGAAAAGGAAAAATGAGTGAAGGATAAATATCAATTAATTTGTCATTCTGAAAAAGCAGAATGAAGGGATAAAATAGAAGACATTGTAATGTTGGTTTTGGTGTCAACTTGGTGATCTCTATCATTGTTGATCATCCCCTCCAATAATGTGGCATTAAATGTATGTCCCACTATTTGTCTCTACCCCATATTTCAAAATCATTTCATATCAATGGAAATTGGAAACCCTAGCTCTCTCCTTAGCTTCTTGTTGTAGACACCTCATTACACAATCAAATTTCAACTATATTAGTTGTCCATATATAAATTAGTGAATTTTCAAATGCTTTTTATTTAGTTTATTTTCATGTCTATATCTTCTAAACATATTCGTTTCTACCTTTTTAGACGGTTTTGGTCTATTCATTTTATTGTTTATATCATTCTTTTTTATCACAATTGTAGCATAATACCACACCCAATAAATTTCTAGAAATGAAACCATAATCTTGTATTAAAATGTTCAAATGTAACCGTAAATTTTAGCATAAGGAGAATGTTTTGAAAGTAATGTTAAAACAAACCAAAATTGAAGAACTAAAACTGACATTTTTTTAGTATAACAAATTGGAGGTAGGAGGGTTTTAATCTTCAACCCCAATAACTGTTATGCTCCAAAATTTGACATTTCTAGAAGTAAACATGCTGAAATTACAAAAACCAAAACAATATTTAAATCTAAACGTAAACAAAGCCCATTCTAATAACTTTTTTTTTAATTTAAATAAACTAGAACAAGGATCTTAGAGCCGTACATAAGATTAAATTAAAGTTACATGGATGGTTAAGATTTACATATGATCCCATCATATTTTATTCCTTTTTAATTTAACATTTTGCACATCTAAAACTGGCTTTAGCCCATAGATTCTCTTGTTAATTATTTGCTACCAAACATGTTAGGGAGAAAAGCTATGGTTTTTATTATTTATTGAAAGAATGGGAATCTTCAAGTGGGTATTACAAGACAGAATTAATATGGCCTAGGGGCTTACCTACACTTATTTATATAAATACAAACACACAGAAAGAGAGGGGAGATTGGATTTTAATATATGATATAGAATTAGAAAATTAATTTATATAGTTGACAAATAATGTACATTCATCAATTACAATATATTAAAAAAAAAAAAGTTAGTTATAAAGCAATTTAATAAGCATAAATTTCACATCAGCAGTACCAACAATCCCCCCACGCCTCAACACAGCAGTCCAATTAAACTTGGTTTCGTGTATAAATATATAAGATTTTAATTTTAATTTGACTATTGATTATGATAAGATATATAAATATAGTCCAATTTCATAAATTGAAAATGCTAGGTGGTCCATTGGAGCGTTTTGAGTTATTTCCGATAAGATTTCCTTTTTGTTTTTTAAGGAAAAATAGTGCTAAAAAAGGAGTTTTAATTTCTTTTATTAATTAAAAGAAAAGTTGCAAGCAATTATGATTTAGCTCAAATTATAAATTAATTATTGAATTAGCTTTTGGAAAATCATGAAAATGAACTGTTTCGATAACATCACCATATATTTAATTACATTTTGAGTGACTTTTTTTTAAGTACAACAAATGTTGTGATTATATTAAGTTTAAATAGTATTTAATATCTGTACTTTCTACTTTTGTTTATTTTTATTTATTTTTATTTATGTACTTCAAAAACGTCTATATTATGTCCCTATATCTTTAAAAATGGATCATTTTTCTATTTACAAAATTTATACACAATAGAAGATTTTTAATATAGTTATATTTCAATAAATTTAGTGAGTGGATTGTGATGCAAAAATTTTAATCAAAATAAATAAGAGAAAAATAAATATGAATATTTTTTAAAAGTATCGAGATTGAAATGAATCGAATCTAAAAAAATAAATATGGGGCTGGTAGACTTCAAATTCCGTAGTACAAATATGTTTGAGTTGCAGTTGCAGTGGGGCCCTTTGTACTATGTTAACATTTATCTATTTAACATAGAAAGAAGTAAAGTAAAATTAAAAGAAATTTAGTCGGGTAGCAAAAATATTTCGTCATCTATTTTTAAAATTTTTCAATATAACAAAAGTTTTCACTTATATCAGTAGTATATTATATATTCATATCAATAATATATCATACACTCATATCAGTAGTATATTAGATGTATATCACATACATATTGCATGTTGTTAGAATCCATATAAATGAATTAAATTTATCCCAGCCATCAGCTTAAGCTTTTGGGTTGAGTGGTAATTAGTTCATTCAAAAGTGGTTACTATTGTGCATGCTCACTTTGACATGTTTCCAATAGGCTTGTGTTCAGAGAATGGTTGAAAATATATATACTTAAAATCAAATAGACACACGGGTAGTTCTATGAAAAACTCTAGGGGTCATTCCACCGCTTAATTCATCATACAAGAAAGATCAAAATTCCGCTAATATTTAAGATCGAAGGATCATAATCTACCTGATTAAGTCAAGAGGCTAGTCATCCAAAAAGATCAACAAACCAAGAGGCGGATCATCTAAAAAGATTAACAATTTAAGAGGTCGATCATCCTACAAATCGACAACTTCAAACATTTTTAACAAGCTAAAAGTGGAAGATCTTCTCCAAACAAATAGAAGACTTCAAATTTCTAAACTCAAGAACAAAATCGTCAAATCCCAAATCAGAAAAAATCAAGAAATAAATATTAGAGATTATATATATTAACCCAAACATCAATAAAAAAGTTATATTTATTCCCAGTTTTGAATTTCTCCTTAAACTTGTGGGAGCAATACACCAATAGAGCTTAAATAAATTAAGTATGACATTCATGAAATAAATTAATTCTATTATTAAATATTTTTATATAGTTGTAATTAAGTATAGAATATCAACGTTTTAAGAAGGTAAAAGTTTTATAATTTCTTTCATTCTTTACCTCCGTAAAGTTGCCTCTTCCCCCATTTCCTCAACCACTTGGAAGTTCTATTCTAAGAAAATTAAGAAAATCAAAATATATACAAATAGGTGGGAATTAATTAATGTTTGAGTCCCAAAATAAAATTTATAACCAAAACAAAATTAAAAGCCATAAACTTGGAACTTAAAAAGGTAGATAAAAGCATAAAAATGGAGTGGGGAAAAGGGAATTGAGAATTGGAAAAAGGTTGGGGTGTGGTGTGTTTGCTTCCACATATTCACATCTAACTTCCTTCCCCATTTAACCAAACAGAACAGGTTTCTGGGATTGTTTTGTTTGATTCCTGTCCCATGGTTTTCAGCCCTTTTGGTTACGTTCTGTTGATAAAGTGATCTGTTTTTGTTTTGTTTGTTTCACTGTTTTGTGCTTGTGCACAGGAAACGTAAGCCATGTAAAAAAGAATTTAAAATAAGGTTGTGTTGGTGTTGGTGTTGGTGTTGGTGTTGGTGTTGTGTGTGAGAAATAGAAATCAAAGAATGGGAAAGGAGGAATTTGAAGTTCTAAATGCACTCGATGTAGCGAAAACACGATGGTACCATTTCACAGCAATCATAATTTGAAGCTCTTGTAGCCAAAGATGCAACACAGGCTGCATCAGACATTTCAAAATCATAATTTGGGATATTGAGGCAGAAACTCAAAAGCAGCTGCAGCAGACGCCAAATGCAAATGCAATTGCCTCTTGGAACTCACTTACTTGGCACTACAACTACTTGGTTTTTACTTGACATTGCATTCTACAGCCACAACTTGTTCCTGAAAGATATCTTCAGCGCAATCGGATGGATTCCTCCACCAGCCACGACGATCACGCGATCGAAGAAATGGTGCTCGTTGACAAGATGGGAAGATTTGCCATTCAACTTATGGGATTCTTCTTCATGTTCGCTCTTGCAATTCCATACGATCACTGGACTCATAAGGACAACCGAATTGGCTTTGCCATGCGCTACTTCTCAATGTTCTTCTTCACGAATTTCGGACCCAGGACAAGAATAAAATCGATGCAGTGTATCCTCCCGCCATTGGAGTGAAGAACTCGCTTCTGTTGTTGGGCGGAGTAAACTTCTTGGGAATGGTTTTTACTTTCTTCGTGCCAGAAGCGAAGGGGAAATTATTGGAGGAGATGTCGGGTGAGAACGAAGATGGAATCATTCAAGAATTGGAGGGGCAGACATCAACCAGTAGAACAGTCTCAAATGCTTAAAGATCAAACCAGTGTGGGATGATCCCATCAGAACAAAGCTACAAGCATTTGACCATGATTTCTATTTTTCCATGAACGACATGTAATGGCTTTATTAGAATTTTAGTGTTGAATTTCAGAAGTACAATAGTGAAGTAATTTCAGAGCTCTAGCTGATTCTTCTTACTTCTTGTTATTCTTCCTTGCCGTATGTTTGATTAACAAAATGAATTAGCAATAACTG